AATACAGAATTGTTCTTCAGATGGGACCTCTCCCAGCTAATGCCTGGACCCTGCCACATGGTCCTGTCCTATCCCAGGCTGCCCGCAGTTACCCTCCTATGTGCCTGCAGATCAGAAAGTTCTTCCTCTGCTGTCCAAATGGTTCTCTCTTCATCTAGTCTCTCTTCATCTAGCCTGGCAGTCATTTTCTGTAGTGCCCTCTCCCTTTGCTCATCCCTTCATCAGATATTTGTTGAATCCCTTCTGGTTGCCAAGTAATGTTCTCATACCACAGGACAGGGAGGGGGAACTGGCAGTCTCCAGTCTCCTAGAGTTGACATCTTAGTAGGGGAAAGAGACCATAAACCCATAAATACATAGTTTATCAGCTGTTGATTTCTGCTGTGAGAAACCAGTCCAAGGTTTCTCCTAGGAAGTATAGCGTGAGTTTAGTGAAGTCTGCAACCTCTCAGGCTGGAGGCTGTCAGAGACAAGGGCAGAAATCAAGCTCAGAGTGCCTTACACAAAAATCAGCTTCTGTTGACTTAGCTGAAAAGTCTTGGGGGTGGGGTTAGCTGTGGGCTGGCTGGACCCTGGGCCTCCGGCGAAGGGATTCAGTTTCCTCCCCTGCTTCCTGTTGGATTGGCTCTAGTCTAAGGTCTCTTTTGATGACAGGGTTACTTCCCACCAGCTCAGCAGAGAGAGAGCTCCCCTTCCCCAGTAGCTCCAACAAAATTCCTGGACCTGAATCTCATTCACCATCAGCAGCCTGGCCTTATTCAAGGGTCACAGTGTCCCCTGGGGTAAGGGCCTGCAGTACTTCTTAGGCCTGGAGCCAGGACGAGGCTCCATCTGAAACACAGAGGTGGGGGAGGAGTGCTTCCCTGAGGAAAATGAGGGGTTGGGGTGCTGGGCTGGCCAAAACCCTGGCTTCTCCCTGTGCACCTCAGTGCCTTGTTGCTGGCCAGGACTTGAAGACAGAAGCGAGGCGGGGGCCTGGACCTCTGGCCCTTCATGCTGGGTTTGTGGTTTATAGGGCAGCACCAGAACGTCTCTGGGATTTCCCGTAGTAGACAAGTGTAAATAAGCTGCTGCCATCCCCAGAGTCCCTCCAGCATTTCTTTGCTGTCATTTATTGTCTAGCATAGGCCTGTCCATTCATTCATTCATCCACCCGTCCTGGTTTGTCAGGCAGCAACTATGCACTGTGCAGGAGATGACTGCTTAGGGTAGCATGGAAACCTTGATGGTGACCCTTACTCTCCTCCCTTTAGCACTTTGGTCTCAGACATGTCATTCACCCGAGTCCATTGTGGGCTGTGCACAGTGAGGACTGTTGTGAATCTAACTCGGTTATGGTGCAGCTTCAGTGAGCGCGGCAGAGGGAATGGTCACCATCAGTGGGCCATTGCCTCAAAGTGAAGACTGGGGCCTGTCCTGCTTCTCCAAGAAGGGGGAGTTTGAAGAGACGGGGAGTGGAACAGGATCCGTTTGATTTTTGTCTCGAACTTGTCCTTTTTCCTCCTCAAACTTCCTCTTCACCTCGTTTCTATTGTGGGTAATCGCTGTCACCTCCTAACTGGTCTCTTCACATGGCCTCTTCCCCACACTTCTCATTTTAAACCTAAAACCAACCACCATGCCTCCCCCACTCCTTTTGCACCACTTCCCAAATCCTTGGCATGGCCACCATCTGCCCCTGGGCTCCGTGCCTTCACACCTGCCACTCTCCCTGCCAGGCTTTTCTCCTTGAGACTGCAGCACAGCAACCTCATCTCAGGGATATTTCCCTAACACTCTAGACCAGACACTCTACCAGCTCCCTATATGAGCACTCTTATGAACTGCGAACCGTGTCCCCCTCCTACCTAGCAGTCCTGCTGGGGCAAAGCTGTGTGAATGTAGGTTCCTGGTTAATCTAAGTCTCCTATGACTGGAGGCTCTGACAGCAGGACTGTGCAGATGCTCCCCAAATTCATGACTCCCCTGGCCTCCCTCCTCTCTCAGCCCTTGGATGCTGAAGGAGACCCTGAACTAGGGGTGGGCAAACTTTTTGACTCGAGGCCGCAATGGGTTCTTAAACTGGACCGGAGGGCCGGAACAAAAGCATGGATGGAGTGTTTGTGTGAACTAATATAAATTCAAAGTAAACATCATTACATAAAAGGGTACGGTCTTTTTTTTTTTTTTTTTTCAGTTTTATTCATTTCAAACAGGCCGGATCCGGCCCACGGGCCGTAGTTTGCCCACGGCTGCCCTAAACACACCCCACAGAGTTCATGAGCACACCCAGAGCCACATGCCCAGGTCCAAAACGATGAGGGACCTCCCCCATGGGTTAAGGTGGTCCTCGGTTACAATCCCCTAGCATGGGCTTCCTGGGCTGCCCCTGGATAGGGGATACATGGTGTTGCCTGAGAAAATAGGCGGCATAGCCCTGACAGGGCATCCCAAAGGGTCTTTTCCTTCAGCAGACATGCAAGATGGACTCTCAGACTTTTGCAACTCCATAAATTCTTTTTTTGTTGATGGCTGCTCGCTTAGAGAACCAGGTGGAATGTGGGCCGGGGTTCTCCAACAAGCATGAGCTGTGTGGACCAGGGGTCCTCAAACTACGGCCCGCGGGCCACATGCAAATACAAATATTGTATTTGTTCCCGTTTTGTTTTTTTACTTCAAAATAAGATATGTGCAGTGTGCATAGGAATTTGTTCATAGTTTTGTTTTGTTTTTTTATTATAACCGGCCCTCCAACGGTCTGAGGGACAGTGAACTGGCCCCCTGTTTAAAAAGTTTGAGGATCCCTGCTCTAGATAGACCCTGACATCTCTAGAACTTTTCCTAAAGAGTGCATTACATTGGCACCTGTCCTTCTCCAGTTCCCACATTTGCCTTAAAATATGAATTTCATTCAGTTCTTAAGTATTTTTCTTCTAGGTTTCTTCCTTCTTCCATCCTCCCTTTCTTCCTTCTTTCTGCTTTCTCTCTCTCTCTCTCTCTCTCTCTCTCTCCCTCCTTCCCTCCCTTCCTCCCTCCCTCTCTCTTTTCCTCTCTCTCCTTCTTCCTTCCCCTCCCCTTACACACTCAGGGATGATTTGAACTTGCCATTAGGAAAATGGACATGAGCTATCTTGACTCCAGGAAGTATGTGAGCCGTATAATCAATAACATGCATTAAATGAATTGCTTTTGGGTTTTTTCCTCCTATGAGAAAGTCTTAGTTCCTCAGCAGCGTGGGCCCAGCTGTTGGTCTTGCAGCAGAGCTGGGAGTAGGCAGATAAAGAAAATTAGTTTCTAAGGCCTTATAATCACTCAGGACCTCCATCACTACTCCCTTTCCCCTTTTGCTCTAATTCCTCCTTGTCTATCTCTGACCCGTGACAAATTAGTTCTTAAAAGTACCCATAGTCACCATTAATACACACATGAGAACTCCTGTCTGGAGTAAGAGTGAGTAGAGCCCAAGTCAGGGCTACTCCCAGGCCACATATGTGCATCATTTGAAAGTTGACCTCTGCCATCCTATTGTGATATAGGACATTAGGCCTGAGCCACTTGCTCCGATCCTCTTCTAAAAATCTCAATGTATCCCATTTCCCATATTCCTGACTCCTGGTTTCCTCTTTGGCATTCT